GGAATACCCAAGGCTTGTTAGCGTTCTTTAGTTCCATTTCTCCCAGTGTCCATTACTGAAACTTACCCAGCTTGTATTCTGTCTTCATACTGCAGATGCTAGATTTTGTACTTCCCAGGTGACAGTCAGTTAAAATGATAGTTGCAAATCATCATGCTTTTGATTGACACAGGTAGGGCTGGTCCTAAATCCATTCTGAGGTTGATGATACTCATTTGGAAGGTCTCCCCACTCAGTTGCCCTTTCTTCTCTCCACTTGTTATGTTACAAAGGTAAAAGGTTATGCAAATACTCTTCACATTCTCTTAAGGCTCTGGGGTTCAGGAGTGGTCACTACCACCAATAAAGTCTGTAGGTACTGAAGTGATTTTCCCTGAGAATAATCATCTCCAAGTAATAAAATAGGGGATTAAAGCTGTGACTGCTTAAATCAGGCTGAGTGCCCACAAAAAAAAGTTGATCAGTTGATCTAAGAAAGAAATGGAAATTTTTTTTCGAGCCAAATTGAAGATTATAACCCTGGAATAGCCTCTCAGAAAACTCTGAGAACTGTTCTGTCCATTAAAGGTCAAAGCACAGTTATGTACATTTTTGAGACAGTATGCTGTACATTAAATGATGAATTGTTGACAGTTTACATAATCCACATCTACAAGTAGTGAGTCATGGAAGTGAAAGTCGCTCAGTCAAGTCCGACTCTTTGCGACTCTATTCCTTCTCCAGCAGATCTTCCCAATTCTTGAATTGAACTGGAGTCTCCTGCATGGCAGGCAGATTCTTTACCAACTGAGCTATCAGGGAAGCCCGTTTAAACTTAAGCCACATCTTAACTGGCTTCTCATTAACGCCATAAACTTTCTGTATTACCTTTGTTTTCTGGACTTTCTCACTGCCTCTCCTCTGCTGCTCACATGATTTGTAGTTATGATATCTTCAAGTTTCCCAAATATTCAATCGTGCTATGTCTTCAATCAAATCTCCCTTTCAGGGACTTCCCTTTTAGAGCTGTAGTTATGATATCTTCAAGTTTCACAAATTTTCAGTCATGCTATGTCTTTGATCAAATCTCCCTTTCCTCGGGGACTTCCCTTCTAGAGCTGTTCTCTTGTTCCAATCTCATCACTATCAGGCCTGTCATTCTGGGACTTTCCTTCCCAGCGTCGGATTCACCTTTTGCTGATTTTGCTTTTTTCCCCCTGGGTTTAGTCATACTCTGTTTCACTGGAAAACCTCTCCTAAGAAATTGTTTATGGGAGAACAACTTCCTGAGTCCTTGCACGTCTGCAAATGTCTTTATTCACCCTTCACAAATTATCGAGAATTAGGTAGGCAGAGACTTCTAGGTTGAAAAGAATTTTTTATAAAATCCTCGAGGGTGGGAATTCCCTGGTGGTTGTGGTTAGGACTTGATGCTTTCACTGTCAAGGGCCAGGGTTCAACCTCTCTGGTCGGGGAATTAAGATCTTGGAAAGCACATGGCATGACCAAAAAAAAAAAAAAATTCTTGAGGGTTTTAATTGTTCTACCATATTCTAAAATCCATTACTGATGGGAAGTCCGTCATCAAACTAACCCATGTTTCTCTTTGGAGATCTTTAGCATATTTAGCCAAAATAACATCTTTTGAAATGTCAGTATGGTCCAGAGGTGAGGATTTTATTTCCCCTTTTGTTGTCCTGAGAATTTGGTGGGGCTTTCTTTTTTCTTGGTGAGATGTTCTAATCTGGAGTTTGAGCTGGGAAGCTGTCTTATGCTATTTAACAATTTTCCTCCTCTATTTCTTTCTGTGACTGTTACTAATCACATCCTGGTCTTTCCAGATTGGTTCTGCATATCACCTATTTTATCTCGCCTATTTAAAAATTCTGATTTTTTTTTTCTGAGTGATTTTTCTTTTCTCAGACAATCAATTGTATTTTTAATTTTAGCAATCATATTTTTAAAAACTGAAAGATTTTGTTGTAGGTTTAGTCTTTTTTCATAGCATTTTCTTTTGTTTCCTAAATGTAATATTGTCTTTTTTAATAAAGACTTTTTTTTTGATGTAAACCATTTTTTTTAAAGTCTTTATTGAATTTGTTACAATATTGCTTCTGTTTTTATGTTTTGGTTTTTTGGCCACAGGCCTGTGGGATCCTAGCTCCCTGAGCAGGGATCAAACCCACAACCCCTGGGGAAGGTGAAGTCCTAACCACTGGATCACCAGGGAAGTCACTAAATGTAATATTTTCTTAAATCACTCTAAACATATACATTAGAACTTGTAAACATTCTCTTCTGTCTCCTGAATTACATCTGTTTTCTTCAGGATCACTATTTTGTTTGTTTATCTGGTATTTCTCTTTCATTCTATGGTTCTTCTCAGTTGCCTGGTGATCTATTATTAAAAAAAAAATATGACCAGTTAACTCCTGTGGGTTTTTTCTGCTGTTATGTGAGGACTGTTTTCCCAGTTGGTGGCAGTAGCTAACATGTATATAGTATTTGGGCTTCCCTGATAGCTCAATTGGTAAAGAATCCGCCTGCAATGCAGGAGACCCCTGTTGTATTCCTGGGTTGGGAAGATTCCCTGGAGAAGGGATAGGCTCCCCACTCCAGTATTCCTGGGCGTCCCTGGTGGCTCAGCTGGTAAAGAATCCGCCTGCAATGCAGAAGACCTGGGTTCAATCTCTGGGTTGGGAAGATCCCCCCTGGAGAAGGGAAAGGCTACCCACTCCAGTATTCTGGCCTGGAGAATTCCATGGACAGAGGAGCCTGGTGGGCTACAGTCCATGGGGTCTGTGTCAGACACGACTGAGCGACTTTCACTCACTCACTCATATGGCATTTATCCATGTTCCAGGTGTGGTCCTGCACAGGTTAAATGTATTAACTCACTTAATCATTTCAGCAACCCCTCTACAAGGTAGTTACTATGGTATCTCATTAAGTTTGTGCTGTGTGCGCTCAGTTGTGTCGGATTCTGCGACCCCATGGACCGTATCCCACCAGGCTCCTCTGTCCATGGAATTCCCCAGGCAAGAATGCTGGAGTGGGTTGCCATTTCCTTCTCTGCTCACTAAGTTTAATATTCCATCAATTGTAAAATGTACTATAATTTTGTTTCCTACTAAGAAAATAAACAATGCTGTTGGAATATGACATGCTGCTGCTGCTAAATCACTTCAGTCGTGTCTGACTCTGTGCGACCCCATAGATGGCAGTCCACCAGGCTCTGTCATAGACTATAAAACACATTCTCTTTTAGAGGAATTATAAAATCTTAGAATTGATAATATATTACCATTCCCATCTTCCAGTTGAAGAAACGAAGGCATAGAGATTAAATAACTTTCCCAGGTTACATAGTTTTATCTATAGATTTTACATGTGAACCCAAATGATTTGGCTTCAGAATCTTACCACTATGCCTCACTGCTTCCCAGGGCTCCTCACTGAATGGAGACTCATCAAGGGTGTCTGAACTGGGGGAGTTTTAGGGCGATGAGTTAGGGAAGCTGACTTTCTGGCCCCAGATCCCTCAAATGCTAGAACAAGGAGACCTTTGACCTGAGGCACCAACATTCATAAAGAAGTTTTAGCTCTCTCCACAAGGTTTGCTCTCCTGTTAGAGAAGCATAGTCTGGATTTTTTTACCTGAAATCTGATGAGTGCAGTGGGCTGGAGCTGTCAAGGGTACCAAGTGGTACAGTAGATCCTCACCAGAATTCTAGTCAATGGCATGTTTCCCTTTCCCAGGTTCCGGGTCCTGGTGAGTGAAGGGACTTCCTATCATGGGTTCTTGGCACTTTCTCTTTCTGGCTCACTTGTCTGTATCTTGTCTTCTTTCTGCCCTCTAGAAACACGTATAGATCTCTCATCTGCTGTTGACTCTGCTTCCCATTCTTTGCACTTGTTGCAGTTTTACTCTTTTTTATACTTTCATTTTGGTGGGGTCTTGGGAGGGACTAGGAGAAACAGAAAGGTCAGTGCTTGTGCTCAGTCTTAAACCAGAAAGCCATATCTCTATTTTTTATTGAATAAAATCAAGATTATAAAAAGATGACCACCATCTGAGACAATAAAATATTCACATTATAGCTGGCAGTGGAAAAGCACTTACAAAACCTTAAAGTCATATTTGCTTAAAAGCTTTCTTAAGTGCAACTGAAAGAACCTTCTGTTTGTTGATACAACATTTTTAAAGTCCCAATACACATGAGGCTTGTTATTTGCTTTATGAAGGAATTATTCTTTTGAAAAGATTAATGATGAGATGTTTCCAAATTTCCCAGGAGGTCATTTAGATGACAGTTTTATTTTCAGAATTCTATGTGGATATGTATATGTCCACACAATTTTTGGCATAAAGTGAGATGATTTTTCCTTTTGGATATTAAAAATTCAGTATTGGAATATAATAGAGCACTTGAAATGTGGTCAGTGCAATTGAGGAACTGATTTTAAGTTTTACTTAATTTTAATTAAGTTAAAAAAACCTGATACTTGATTTAGTTGTTGGAAAAGTTTTAGGTATGTGTGGAACAACTTGGATATATGAATTTACTTTTTAATTGTAAACTTCATGAAATCTAAATACAAATCAACACTTCATGAAATAAAATACAAGGATTTCCAATGAAATTAGTTAATATCTGGATTGAGATGTGTTGTAAGTATAAAATAAATACTGGATTTGCTTAAATTAAAAAGTGCAAAACATATCACTAATAATTTTATATTGATTATATGTCACAATACTTTGAATATACTGTCTTAAGTAAAATACATTACTAAAATTATTTTTTACCTGATTTTACCACTAGAAAAATTAACATTTATATATGCTTGAATTATATTTCTACTGGACAGAGCTATTTTTTCCAGTGCAAGACTTTGCTTTCAATAATCACTATGATGATGGTATTTCATTCCTCTCGTTGTCTAAGACAGTTTTAAGTGACTAGTGGTGAGTGATAGTTAATGCAGTTATCTCTTTGAACCCTTTTCTATCAATGTAGATCACAATCCACCTTCTCAGCCCAAGGAGGATAGTATTGGCCAGAGCCATCACCAGGAGGAAATAATTCAGAAGTTGGCCGTGCAGCTGAGAAACACTGGGGACAGCATTGAGCAGAGAATGGTGCGAGAGGTGAGACTTAAATTTCTCCAGCAAGGGCCTAGCAGGAAAGAGCAAACAGAACAATGGCTGCCAAATAGCTGGAATGCCCAGGAATTAGCAGAACATATGGATTAATAATATCCAGGTTACCAAGCATTAGATCTGAAAATTGAGAAACCGAGCCAATGCCAGTATTTGATTTCACGTTTGCCTCGCAAAAACTGGTCTGCAGACCAGTAGCATCAGCATTATTTGGCAGCTGACCAGATGTGCAAAATCTGGAACCCCAGCCCATAGCTCTGGCATCAGAATTTACCATTTTGCACACACCCTTGGGGTTCTGAGTTGTAAATGTGAGAAACTTTGCCTCACACTCTCATATTAGGATGCATGTGAGAATCATCTGTGGAGTTTTAAGAACTACAGATGCTGGACCCCACCTTGAGAGATGAGTCCAGGTGAACATAATGCTCCATCATGGAGAAGAACCTTTGACTTAGATTGTGGTTATCCTCCTTGAACCAACCCAGGTTATGCTCTAAGCCCAGCTCTCCCTGAGTTCTTTGTTTCTCCTGATTGTTATAAGAAGTAATATGGGAAAACATAAAGATTACTGTTTTAAATACTGTGAAAGTGTTAGTTGCTCAGTCATGTCTGACTCTTTGTGATCCCATGGACTGTATAGCTCACCAGGTTCCTCTGTCCATGGAATTCTCCAGGTAAGAATGCTGGAGTGGGTAGCTGTTCCCTTCTCGAAGGGATCTTCCTGACCCAGGGATCAAATCCGGGTCTCCCGCGTTGCAGGAAGATTCTTTACCAGCTGAATCACCAGGGAAGCCCAAATTTTAGGCGCGATGAAATCCATGGCCAACTTAGTTTTCCTCCAGAACAACCTGTAACTGGCAGCAGAAAGAGAATAACCATGTGGGGCTCTGTGCTAGGACAGGTGGCTGACCCTTGGAGCCCAACTTCTTGCCCTTAAATTCATCACAGGACAAGTACCTGTGGCGATTTCTTGTTTATCCCTGCTGCTGCCATCATGCTGACCTCAGGGAGTGCCAGGCCTCCTCCTATGCTCTGGTTCAAATGTGGCAGTACTCAGCTATCCCCTCAGGTAAAACATTCCCAGAGACAAAACAAGAACAGAAGGTTCCAACAATAATGTTACTAAAAGTAAGAAGGAAATAATCACACAAAATATTGATAGATTGATTTTATACAAATATTTATTGAGTACCTACTATGCACCAGACTCAGTCCTAGGTATTCACAGACCAAGTTCACTCAAACAAATACTTATTGAGTGCTTCCTATATGCCAGACTCAGTTCCAGGCAGAGAGCAGGACAGAAGATGAGCCTACTCTCATCGGACTCATAACATAGGAGAGGGACGAACAGTGAAGTGGATGACTAGACTGCTGGGGATAATGAGTGATGGAGATGACTCTGAGCAGGCCGTCAGGAAAGGCTTCTCTGACGAGGTGATATTTGAGCAGAGACTGAAAGTGAGCCAGGGGAATACCTGGGGAGAAAGTGTTCCAGACAGAGGGAACTGGGAGTGCCAAGCCCTTGGCATAGAAACAGGCATAAGGCACAGCAAGGAGGCCAGAATGGCTGAGCGGGGTGGGTGTTGAGGTCCAGTGGCTGGCCTCTGTCTTAGGAGTGGTGGTAAAAGGTGTTTGGGTTTTACCCTAAGTGTTTATAAGAGAAGCTTCTGGGGGTGGGGGGAGAGTAGTAGAGTGCCATGTTCTGATTTATATTTAGAATGAAGCCAGTAGACTGTTCTGAACATTGAGTGAGATAATGCCACAGAAAATGATCAGTACATGTTATTAAAGCCAACAGCTTAATTTGTTTTTGGCCTTATTTGAGTTGAACACTTCTTGGCCGTGTATCATTTATTACAGAGCACTCATGGTACTCTCCACCTTGCTCCAATGCTTCAGTTTCTTCTGCAGTTTTCACTGATGACTGTGCTTTAAGAATTACAGGCAAGTCCTTAGTTCAACTTTTCTGCCTCTTTATCAGCTAGCACTCTGAATACTCCTGGTTCCTTCTAATTTTTCCTCTGGAGAAAGCAGAGTAGGAAAAATCACAAGCACCTATTTTCTACATTTATCTCAACCTAATCAGGAAGTCATTTCTCCATGTCACCTCCTCTTCCATTTTCCTTTTCTTCCTTCCCCTTACCTCTTTTTTTTTTTGGTAATGATTTTTTCCCCTTACCTTGTAAGCTGTAATTTACTTATGTCTTAAATTTACCTCTGCAGCTTAACAAATTAACACTTTTCTTCCTTTTTAAAAAATAACATTAAGAAAGTCCACATGTCATACAATTCATCCATTTAAACAGTATAATAAGTGGCTTTATGTTTATTCATATAGTTGTACAGCCATCATTATAATCAATTTTAGAACGGTTTCATCACCCCAGTAAGACACTCCAAACCCAATAGTAGTCCTTTCTCATCTCCTCCCATTTTTCCTTCCAGCCCCACCAATCTATGTTCTCTCTCTATGGATTTGCCTATTCTGAAATTTCATATAAGGGGATTAATATGTGATCTTTATGTCTGACTTCTTTCACGTCAGTTCAGTTCAGTTGCTCAGTTATGTCTGACTCTTTGTGACCCCATGGACTGCAGCACACCTGGCTTCCCTGTCCATCACCAACTCCCAGAGCTTACTCAAACTCATCTCCATCGAGTCAGTGATGCCATCCAACCATCTCATCCTCTGTCGTCCCCTTCTCACTTAACACATATTTTTTTCAAGGCTCATCCATGTTGTAGCATCAATCAATGCTTCATTTCTTTTATTGATGAATAATATTCCATTGTATGTATATATTTCACTTTATTCATCAGTTGATGAACGTTTGGGTTGTTTCCACTTTTTGACTATTATAAATAATGATGCTATGGACATGTGTGTGGAAGTTTTTGTGTAGATGAGTGCTTTCAGTTTTTTTGAGTACATACATAGGAGTGGAATGCTGAGTCGTATGACAACTTTATCTTTTTGAGAAACTTCTAAACTGTTCTCCTAAGTGGCTGTACTATTTTATATTGTGGCCCACCAGCAAGGTATGAGGGATCCTCTTTTTCCACATTCTTGTCAAAATTAGTTAACTGTCTTTTTGATTATAGCCAGCCTAGGGGGTATGAAGTAGAATCATATTGTAAGTTTAATTTGCACTACCCTGATAGTTAATGTTGTGCATCTTTTCACGTGCTTATTGGTTATTTATATAAATCTCTGGAGAAATGTCTATTCAGATTTTTTGCCCATTTTAAAATTGGGTTGTATTTTAATTATTGAGTTGTAGGAGCTCTTTATATGGGCCTGCCAAATGGCGCTAGTGGTAAAGAACCCGCTTGCCAATGCAGGAGACATTAGAGATGTGGGTTTGATCCCTGGGTCAGGAAGATCCCCTCGAGGAGGGCATGGCAACCCACTCCAGTATTCTTGCCTAGAGAATCCCATGGACAGAGGAGCCTGGAGGCCTATGGCCCACAGTGTCACAGAGGCGCACATGACTGAAGCGACTTAGCACAGCACGGCAGCACAGTTCTTTATATATGCTGAATATAAGCCCCTTATCAGATATGTTATTTGCAAATATTTTCTCCCATTCTGAAGGTTGTCTTTCATCTTGACAGTGTTCTTTGAAGTGCAAAAGTTTTAACTTTGATGAATTTCAACTCACCTATTTTTCTTTTGTTGCTAGTGCTTTTGGGTCATACCTAAGAAATCATCATGAAGATTTATGCCTATGTTTTTTTCCAAGAGCTTTAGAATTTTGGCTGTTAAATTTAGGTCTTTGACTCATTCAGAGCTAATTTTTATATATGGTATGAGTTATAAGTTCATTTTATTCCAACCATGGTCGAAAGCAAAGGCCTCAGCTTTGAATGTTAACCATGAATGTTAGACCTTCACTTCCAATCATGCTCATGAGTGATGGACAGGGAGGCCTGCCATGCTACGGTTCATGGGGTCGCAAAGAGTCAGACACAACTGAGTGACTGAACTGAACTGATAAGTTCATCTTCATTCTTTTGCATATGGGTATTAAGTTGTCACAGCACATCTGTTGAAAAGAGTACTCTTTTCCTACTGAATTGCCTTGGCACCCTTGTCGAAAATCGACTGACTATAAATTGGGGCTTTATTTATGGACTCTCAATTCTATTCCATTGATCTATGTCTATACTTATACCTGCCCTAGCTTTTCTTGCAATGTTTTACAAAACTGGCTTTGACCTAGACTTTTAAAGTAATCTTTCTTGTATTGCAAAATTGTCATTTAGGGCACTTCAAATAGACCACAGAATATTTTAAAAATAATTTTTAAAATTCCTTAGTTTGACTCTAAAATACTAAAAGGCTTTACTCTGCTGCTTCCAGGCTTAACTCAAGTAACTTTAACAAAATTTTGAATCTGGCATGGTATATTTCTTTCATGTACAATCATTTATTCACATTTTATACTTTGTTTAATCAAGTGATCTCATTGATTCTCCAGATGTCTTCCTGCTTTTGATGTATTTAAAGAAACTTTGATTCTTGCTCTTGGAACTCCCTGGCAAGGAGACCACCAAACTGTATTTTTGTCTGCTTAATTGATTGTCCTCAAGCTATCACATAGTATGACTTCTTATTCTTTTCACTTAAGCAAGTGTTTGGTGTTTTCAAATAGGCCTTGATTCTCAACCTATTTTGCCATCTAGGTTTGAGGGGTTTTGGTTCAAAGACCTTTTTTTTTTTTTTAATCTGGGGCATGTAATTTTCCTAGCTGTAAAGTATGTTTTAAAACCGTTTTTCTATGCTTTTAGGATCTTAAATGCACCTTTGAAATTTTTCTCCATAGGACTCTATCCTGGGTCCTAGAAACTGCCCTCTCCCTGACCCTATAGGCCTAGGAGTGGCAACAACTCTGTTGTTAGGCCACCCTTATGCCTCCTCCCACTTTTGTAAAGTGTCTTCATCCGACCCTATTATCCTAATTTGAGAGTGTCATCTGTTTTCTCTGGGACCTTGACAGTAATGTATAAGAAATTTCTTAAGTTTGTTAGAAAGACAGGTGGGAAATGAACATTTACTAAACATTTTCTTTCAGGTACTCTGGGATACTCTTATTTGTTTCATTTAATTTTCCAAATAACCCTATGAATTAGTGGAATCGGTATATCAGGAGAAGCATTTGAGGTTCAGCAAGATTAGATAACCTATCCAAGGTTACTCAGCAACTAAGTGGCAAAACTAGAATTTAAATATATGAGCATCTGACTCAGTGTTCTATACATTTTCTTGTCTGCTTTGCTAAAAGGAAATTCAATTTTTCTTTTTTTTAATTAAAATATTTTTAATTTTAATTTTTTGGCTGTGGCATGTGGGATCTTAGTTCCCTGAGTAGGGATTGAACCTGTGCCCCCTGCAGTGGAAGCACAGAGTCTTAATCACGAACCACTGGACCACTGTCAAAGTTCCTCAATTTTTTAAATTGATATCAATTATAAAAGGGAAAAACAAGTCCTTTCATGGTTTCCAGTTACAGTAGTATTTACTTATGAGCTTCTCCGGTGGCTCAGTGGTAAAGAATCTGCCTGCAATGTAGGAAATGCAGGAGATACAGGTTTTATCCCTAGGTCAGGAAGATCCCCTGGAGGAAGGGATATGGCAACCCACTCCAGTATTCTTGTCAGGAAAATCCCATGGACAGAGGAGCTGGTGGGCTACAGTCCATGGGGCTGCAAGAGTCAGACACGACTGAAGCGACTGAGCATGCACCAGAAACCTGCTGAGGTCTTTGCTTACAACCATGCTCACACTCACCCCCTCTTCACCATCTAAAGTCCATTCTTCCAGCCCCAAAGCAGACTCCCTTGGTTCCTTGGGAGGACTAAGAAAGTGCTCTGGGAAGCCAGAGGAAGAGGTTAATCAACCTGGAAAAGAGTGCCCAATTTGCTGATGGTGAAAATGGGAAAAGATGTCCAGAGGAAAACTTCCCCGGGTTGTGTCGATGGTACGGACATCATGAACAAACCAAGATATTCTTCCACTCAGACACTTCACAAAGCAGCCTGAGAAGCAAGTTTGTGGCACTGACTGAATTAATATTAATACTGGATTTCTAACTTTGGATTATTTTATCACCTTTTAAAAAAACTCACCCTCCCTCTCTTGCTCTCTTTTTAAACAGAACTTTCAGCAAGAAGGCGGAGATATCCTGGCTCACTATGTCTTCGTTTTCTTTGGAGGAGTTCACATGCTGCTGCGCTTTCTCTGGAACAACCATTTGATGTAGAAGGGATGTAAACAGCAGGCTCTGCTTTCCTTCTCCCTTCTGAGAAAACATGAATCCCACCGGGGCAGATGCAAAGAAGACCCTTCTACTCCTCCTCTCTGTTTCACCCATTGTTGCTTTTGTCTGGTTTGTTGAAGAACTGCGGACCCACTGGCCATTTGTCTGTTGTTGTCTGGCCAACCAGCAATGAGACGTCTGTGATGGTCTCATGGTGGAGCCCAAGGAACTTAGGAACCCAGGAGGCCTTACTGCTTAGGAAACACCAGAGCTGTGGATAGCCCCAGTGCTCCTTATAAGGAAATCTTGTGAGGGAGCCTCCCATGAGTGCCTCTGAACCTCATTCCCAAACCAGGGGTCACAGAAATGGGTGCGTTCTCCTGGGCCCCCGCCCTGGGTGGCAGGCCCTCCAGTGACCTGTTGGCTTCATTCTCGTTGCCTGTGTCTAGATCTGTAGTGCCCGTCCTTTTTACCATTCTGTCTACCTCATATTCCCTCCCTCCACCCTCTGAGAAGCATGACGAGTGTTAAGAAAGTTTGTTGTTATAAACTCTAAGTTCTGTTTTGAGTTCTTTGTAGGAAAAGTGTTATTTTAGAAAGTTAATAATTAAAAATGAAATAAATATGGTTATTTTATTGAGCATGAAACACCTGTGCACATTTCTTTTGTGAAGGAGGGATTCCCCTTGTTTCTGCTCATACATGTTCATAATTTTGTAGTTTGATCATACATAGTGTTGTCTTTGTCCTTCCAAAGTGAAATGGTCCCATCTTTTTAAGTCCATCTCAGGCAATGCCTATCATCACCTATGTTTTGTCTTCCCTAAAATATCTTCTTTATTTTTTAACTCTTTTGAGTATATAGTCACTTATATGTTTAAAAAATCAAAACCATATAGGAACATTTACAATGAAAACCACTTGCTCTTATTTGCTTTCCTGAATTCTAGTTATAAGTTTGTTACATACCCTTCCAGAGTTTCTTTGTACAAATACCTGCCTGGAAATAAATACATGCCTGGAAGAAAAGCTATAACAAACCTAGGTCCGTACAGTCAAAGCTATGGTTTTTCCAGGAGTCATGTACAGATGTGAGAGTTGGACCATAAAGTAGGCTGAGCACTGAAGAACTGATGCTTTTGAATTGTGGTGTTGGAGAAGACTCTTGACAGTCCCTCAGACTTCAAGGAGATCAAATCAGTCAATCCTNGTACTCAACTAAAATGACTAGCTATCAGTTCAGTTCAGTCGCTCAGTTGTGACCCCATGGACTGCAGCACACCAGGCTTCCCTGTCCATCACCAATTCCCCGAGCTTGCTCAAACTCACGTCTATTGAGTCAGTGATGCCATCCAACCATCTCATCCTCTGCAGTCCCCTTCTCCTGCTGCCTTCAATCGTTCGTCGTGTCAGGGTCTTTTCCAATGAGTCAGCTCTTTGCATCAGTTGGCCAAAGTATTGGCGCTTCTGCTTCAGCATCAGTTCTTCTAATAAATATTCAGGGCTGCTTCCCTTGTGGCTCAGCTGGTAAAGAATCCGCCTGCAATGCAGGAGACCTGGGTTCGATCCCTGGGTTGGGAAGAGCCCTCAGAGAAGGGAAAGTCTACCCACTCCAGTATTCTGGCCTGGAGAATTCCACGGACTGGATAGTCCATGGGGTCGCAAAGAGTTGGACACAACTGAGCGACTTTCACTTTTCCTTTAGGACTGACCAGTTGGATCTCCTTGCATCCCAAGGTACTCTCAAGAGTCTTCTCCAACACCACAGTTCAAAAGAATCAATTCTTTGGCACTTAGCTTTCTTTATAGTCCAACTCTCACATCCATACATGACTACTGGAAAAATCATAGCTTTGACTAGATGGACCTTTGTTGGCAAAGTAATGTCTCTGCTTTTTAATATGCTGTCTAGGTTGGTCATAGCTTTTCTTCCAAGGAGCAAGTGTCTTTTAATTTCATGGCTGCAGTCACCATCTGCAGTGATTTTGGAGCCCCCCCAAATAAAGTCTCTCACTGTTTCCATTGTTTCCCCATCTATTTGCCATGAAGTGATGGGACTGGATGCCATGATCTTAGTTTTTTGAATGCTGAGTTTTAAGCCAACTCATTCACTTTCATCAAGAGGCTCTTAAGTTCTTTTTTGCTTTCTGCCATATGATTGGTTATATAGTACTGTAATAGGTTATAACATTTTTCACACAAATAATGCATAAAAACAAACACAAAAATAAAACATTTAAAATCTTACAAAACAGTACTTTGAAAAGTATGGGGACTTCCCTGATGGGGAAGGTTCAATCCCTGGTCAGGGAAGAGCTAGATCCCGCATGCCGCCAACTAAAAAGATCTCATACGCTGCAATTAAAGATCCTGTGTGCTTCAACTAAGACCTAGCTGCTACTGCTGCTAAGGCGCTTCAGTCGTGTCCGCCTCTGTGTGACCCCATAGACGGCAGCCCACCAGGCTCCACTGTCCCTGGGATTCTCCAGGCAAGAACACTGGAGTGGGTTGCCATTTCCTTCTAAGACCCAGCACAGCCAAATAAATAAATAAATATTTAAAAAAGTCCAGCGGTACAGTACAACAGCTAGCATACAGGGGCTGTCATCGAGGGAATGGGCAGCAAGAGTTACTGACTGGAGGGAGGAGGGAACGTGGTAGATGTTAGAGCTGAAGGATCGTCAGCCAGAAGAGATGGACAGAAAGCTGCAATTTTGCTCACACCTGACACTGATGGCACATTCGCATCTTTAAAAGTTCATATGTAAGGGGTGAACTATATCTTTATTATTAAGGAAACTAAGGCAGTATTTTGTAGAGAGAGGCAGTACAGAAGGTATCTAAGTTGCTCAAGGGCACATAGCCAGTAAGTGATATAGCTGGGTTTCCAAGCCATCAGGTTATCTCTCAGAGTCCAGGGACTTAACCACTCTGCTGTACTGCCTCTATGAGAGCTGGCCACGGTCCACAGAGAGCCTGTCAGACGATGCACGGGATTCTGTTAAACGGATGCAGCATCATTTATTTCATCAGCCCTCTCTTAATGGATGCCTAAGTTATTTCTAATCACTCGGTACTGTAAGCCATGCTGAAATAAATAACCATGTACCTTTTGTATATAGGCAGGTCTATTTGTTGAATAGGGGCTTCCTGGTGGAGTCCCACCTTTGGCTTTTTGGCCGGTTATTAAGGCTTCTTGCTTCCTCTTCTTCCATGTGTATTGGTTTGCTTTAGTGGTTACACTCTCCCTCGGCTTCCTCTCAAGAGAGAGGGAGCTGAGGCAGGTATACTAGGGTGGTGGGCAGGTGGGTACCACACCTGGAGCAGCCAGGGGCATGTGAAAAGGCGGCAGTCCGGATCCACTAAGTACCTGGTTCTAGGTAGGAAGAGCATCCCAGCGTCTCTAACGGTGGCAATCGGGCCAAAGGGCAGGCCTTGGCGGGGTCGGAGGTGTAAGGGTCACTCACCCTTAAGGGGAGAAGCACCTGGTCTAGGTGGATAGCACAGGAGGCCACCCCCCACCATCTGCAGATGAACATGAAGTTGGTCTGTTGCTGCTGTGAGACCAGGACCAGGGGTTCCCTGGCTCTGCCCCCCTAGGAGTGCTGTCCATCCGTGAAAGGGGTGCGAGCAAACCTACGCCTCCCAGCCAGTGAGCCCTCGGGCACTCTGGGAGTCCGCTCCCACAGGGGCCAGCCCCCTGCCTCCCCCCAAGCCGACCCTGTGGGAGTGGAAGCCGGATGCCACTCTTTCGTTTCCCAGGAGGATACCAATTACCAGAGCACCCCCTGCACCTGCTCAGCTGGAACCCCAGCGCACAGCACCTGGCACTATTTGAGATTCCACCCCATCAGACTTTCCAGTTTGGGGCGTCAAGTTCGGGGTTTGGGGAAGGAGGGCCTAGGAGTGCTAGCTAGGGCCCAGCAGCCGCAGCCCTTGGAGCTTCATGAGGTGAGGGTGGCCCCCTCACCTCCATGTGCAGTGTAGACGAGAGCCTGATGGCGGAACCACGCGGCCGTGCACAGAGCCGCCCACCCTCGCCCCTGTCCCACCGCAGGGCTTGATGCAGATTCGGGTGGTTGACCCCGCGCTTAGAACCTGGGCCATTCCTGGGGCACAAGTCCTGTAGGAAAATCCTTTTCACCTAATATTCTTTGAATACGTGAGGAACACAAAGTCCCTTTAAAATTCTTTTTGTTGTAGTTGATTTACAATGTCGTGTTTAATGTCTGCTGTATACAAAGTGACTCGGTTATACATATGTATGTTCTTTTTCGTATTCTTTTCCATTATAGCTTATCACAGGATGTTGAATACAGGTATTAGTGCTGTGCAGTAGGACTTTGTTGTTTATCCATCCTATATAACAGTTTGCATCTATTGCTAATCTCAACCTCCTAAAATCTTTCCCTCCTCAAAATCCCCTCCCTCTCAGCAACCACAAGTCTGCTCTCTATGTCTGTGACTCTTTCTGTTTTGCAGGTAGGTTCATTTGTGATTCATTCATTTTAGATTCCACATGTACGTGATATCATATGGTATTTGTCTCTCTCACTTCACTTAGTATGATAATCTCAAGGCTCATCCATGTTGCTGCAAATGGCATTATTTCATACTTTTTAATAGCTGGGGAACATTTAATATTCAGATCTGCTGTATACAAAGTGACTCGGTTATACATATGTATGTTCTTTTTCGTATTCTTTTCCATTATAGCTTATCACAGGATGTTGAATACAGGTATCAGTGCTGTGCAGTAGGACTTTGTTGTTTATCCATCCTATATAACAGTTTGCATCTATTGCTAATCTCAACCTCCTAAAATCTTTCACTCCTCAAAATCCCCTCCCTCTCAGCAACCACAAGTCTGCTCTCTCTGTCTGTGACTCTTTCTGTTTTGCAGGTAGGTTCATTTGTGTCGTATTTTAGATTCCACATGTACGTGATATCATATGGTATTTGTCTCTCACTTCACTTAGTATGATAATCTCAAGGCTCATCCATGTTGCTGCAAATGGCATTATTTCATACTTTTTAATAGCTGGGGAACATTTAATATTCAGTTTATATATATATATATATAAAACTGTTGCTTCCATGTCTTGGCTATTGTAAATAATGCTACTGTGAACATAGGGGTGCACGTACCTTTTTGAGTTATAGTTTTATTTGGGTATGTGCCCAGGAGTGGGATTGCTGGATTATACGGCAGTTCTATTTTTAGTTTTCCGAGGACCCTCCATACTGTTTTCCATAGTGGCTTCACCAATTTCATTCTCACCAACAGTGTGGGAGGGTTCCCCTTTTTCCATGCCCTCTCCAGCCCTTATTATTTGTAGACTAAAAAAAGCCCCTTTTACTTATCACTGGAGTGGAGGTGCTGACTGCAAGAGAATAAAAGGTGAGGGTAGGAGTCAGCATGTGGAAATGAAAGAAAAAACAAATTACATTCCAGGAAGATGACAGGCTTCAAAGTTTCAGGTTCTACTGGGGGTTGTGTGTGACCTTAGGTCCTTCAGAGACAGCGAGGGAAATTCCTGCCCATCTCTCTGGGCC